ATTATTGTAATTGTAATTATAGTTATCATTATCATTGTTAGTTGCTGTTGTTATTATTATTGTTATTGATATTACTGTCATTTTTGCATTCATGTTGTTATTTATTATTATTATTATCATCATTATTATTATTATTATTATTATTTAACATAATTAGTTGATATTATTTGTTGTTATTTATCATTTATTATGTGTTTATTCTTAATAATGACAATGATAGTGATAGGAATAGTAATAGTTGTATTGATGATGATAATGACGATGATGATACGGCCAATCGTAAAACTAATGATAATGACAATGGCAATGATTATGTTAATGCTAATAATGGTACTGATAGTGGTGGTGGTGATAAGGATAATGATAGTGATAATGATCATGATAACCATAATGATAATGATAATAAACAACAAATTTGTGTGACTTGTAAGCTGAGCACACACAAACACACTTGTGCAGTGACAAGACTCCATACCCCCCTTTGCAATGTTATTTTCTCTTTTTCAGCATAATTGTTTAAGTTTTTTTTCCATTTTCCAATGTCTATATTTATTTGATTACTTTATGCAGTTTCCTTGCAGAAACTCTATCATCTATTTAGGGAGTCAATGATAATAAGTGATAATATGTTATTTGTAATTTTTTATTTTATTTTTTTATTCATTATTTTTTCATAGTAAATTTCCTCTAATACAATGCTACATATATTCCACACTCATTTATCGATAGAAATAATGCCAAATGAGTTTAAATCGCCCTCCGAGAGCTTTGTATATTCTTGGGGAATCTTTCCTGTTACCCCTGTCTTCAGCTGAAATGCTCACAACAGCAAGTTTGCGTCACCACAGCACAGCCAGATATTCCCATGATGGCATTTTTAAGTCCCTCTCCTCCAAGGCAAATTTTTTCATGATGTGATGGTAACTTCATTCAAATCATAGGGGTTGATAACTGCTCTTTCATAAAGAGGTGCAAAGCTTTCATGGCTTTCTATTTTATAAACTGACAATCTTGCAAAATCAGTAAATCTGGCTTGCAGGTACTTGGGTGGAATGTGTAGCGGGGAGGGGGTCATGTTACAAGCCTCAGATATGGTATGAAAGAAGAGAGGAGGGAGCTATCTCAGGTGCCTAATACAGTGGATTTATAGTCCTCAAGTGATATGTTTTGAATTCTATATTCTTTGAAATTTACAACTTCTTTGAGCGATGTTTTGAGCGAATGGGAACTTTAATAGAGCTAGAACTGTTTTATAATTTACTGAGATTTTTGGCAAAAGTGTATCCTGATTCTTAGAGATGAAATAACATTTCAGATTAGTAGAAGGTAAGCATTGAGTAACAAAATTTCATAGGTGTCTGCATCTGCACTGAAGATGAAAAAACAAAGAATGGTGTATAAAATAGTTAAGAATGTAGTCATCATTAAAACCATTCTTACAATTATTGTTTTGGGTAACCTTTTATTATTTTCTTGTTTACAGGGGCAGTACAGTTTGGCGAGGGCACAACAGTCATTCAAGTCACTTGTACAGATTCATGAAAAGAATGGTAAGTATAAACTTCTTCCTTGGTTGCAAAGGCTTCTGCTGAATGTTTTGTATAGAGAAAATAATTTTAATTCTTTTAGTATATGTATTTCTTCAATTTGTATAAATGTGAGTATTTTTTAAAGACTTATGCATACTATACTAACTGTGTATACGCATACAAGATATTTTAAATTTCTCTTATGATAAGGCATTTTCACTGAATAGAAATTCAGAAAGTATTATCTTAATCATCTTTCATTTGAAAATATTATTATTATTACTAATCCATTGGATACAGTTGCTTCATGGTATTCACATGGTCCAAAAAATGGGCATTAGGTTTATGTGTGTGGCTGCTCTGATGGGTGCATGGCATGTTGGCCGGGTGCATGCGAACACTCATGTGTGGTGACAAGTCTGTGTGCCTCTCCTTTTATGCACGAGTGTTGTTAGCATTTTAGCTATATCCCAATGTCCATTCTGTTTTCCTTACACAAATTCTATATGATCTCTCTTGGTAAAATTAAAGTAAAATTAAGTAAAATTTGGTTGTTTATAAGTTTAATTTTTTTTCTCGTAATGTTCAATTTTCTGTAAAACAACTTATGCCGCCAGTCACAGTGGCCAGGAATAGGATGCTGAGCATAGAAATGGCATCCTCTCTGGAGCTGGCAGTCATGGCTTACATACACTACATTCTACAATTGTTTATCTAAAGAAATAATATAAAATTAGAAATAATGTTAAAAAGGGTTCTAAATGCCAAATGAGTCTATCACCCTCCAAGAGGTTTGTGTACTTGTGGCAAGTCTTTCCTGTCACCAGACATCAGCCGAATTGCTCACGATGGCAGGTTCAGTCACCCCCTTGCCCATTGCCAAATTTTCCTATGACAGCATGTTCACGTCTTTTCTCCTCCCTCCCTCCCCTCTGCTCTCCTCCTCTCCTTCCTTGCTCCATATACTCAAA